GGTTGATGCTTAATCCTATTAATCTTGACTTGAAAATGACAGATACAACCAAATGAATTTAAAAAACAGCTTAAGAGGCCCCTATTTATAGCAGTCCATACAAAAATGGCTTTGTACTTTAGTTGTGTTATAAGGGCATCTTAAAACATAAAAGACAGAGTTAATTTTAAAAGCTAAAAGTATCGTGGCCTGATGAGATCCACATACTTATGGTGGTATCCAGACACTATTGGCTACATGGTGCTCAACTGTAGGCATCAATTTGAAATGTGAAATATTTTACTGATGTGCTAGGAAAGAGATAATCAGATGATGAAATATCTAAAACCCCTCTTATAATAGGAATGGTGAAGGAACTACCGATATTTTGCATAGAAAATAGAAGACTAAGGAGAAAAAAGGCAGGTAGCTTTTGTATCAGTGTAAGAAAGACCTTTCTTCTAATTAGAGACACTCAATAATGAAAGTGAGGTTTATGTTTAGTTTTAATCAGAGTCTGGCTGACTGTGTGTTACAGGGAAGTAACCTACAAAGAGATTGAACTGTGACCTCCCTTAGTCTACCTGCCTTAATTTGCCTGCCTGCCTTTTTCTCTCTTTCCCCTCCCTCTCTGGTCTTCCTTTCTCCTTCCCTTTCCCTTCCCTTTCCTTTCCCTTTCTCTTTCTCTTTCTCTTTCCTTCCTTTCCTTCTTTTTCTTTCTCTCTCTTTTTCCCTCCCTTCCTCCTTCCTTCTTTCCTTCTGTCAAAGGGTAATGTGGTTTTAAACACAGAATAAAAATTATTTGAATCACGGGTATACTACCAAATATCTTTTATTATCTTAGGCAGGTCATTTGCCTTCTCTGGGTGTAAATTTGTCATGTACAAATCAGGGCCTGGGGTCTTGAGAGACTATTTTAGTTCTAATATTCTCTGACCATATAAATGTAGACATATTGGCAAACTTTAAGTCTACTCCCTATGAAGAATCATTATAATGATGGGCTTTTAGAGCAGAAAAGCATTTAGTCAACCTCCACACAAGTCATTAGATTACACGTATTATTGTTTCTACATTGAATTGCTAGTAAATAATTTCAATAAGTCCTTCTTTTAAATGCTGTATATATAGTGTAAAAGTTGTCTACTACCCTTGAATGAACAAATGTGACTCTCTCAAGCAGAAGTGCTCTGGGAACACCCTGCTGAGCTTTCTTCTTCTGGTCATATGGTGTGCATACACAATTAACCTTCCCTTAATTAGATTAACTTGTTCTTTACCTGGGATTGTCAAATTAATACTGTAATCAAAGATCTCTATTAGAGACCCGAATATGTTCCTGCTATGTGTAATGCTAATTACTTCTTTACTAAAAGTCACTAAAAACAGGCTCACTTAATGGTATGCCTTAGTTGGAAGATCTGGTTTGTGTCTCAAAACTAGTACTACTCAGAACTTTACAAACAATTCTTAAAATCACCTAAAGAAACCTTAGTATTTCTGATTTTCTTAATTGATGAAATTCAAGATTTAATACAATTCCAGACTACTCCTACTTACATGAAAACATTTATAAGCATTGGCACTGGTTCTTATATTAAAACATGATACTGCATAGCATTTAATCACATGTTATTTATAAAAAATTAAATTGCTCTTGCCAAAATAAGCAAAGCATTTCGTTATACAACCCACAGCATTATTAGGTTCACCCCACATATTTCTAAATTCAGACATTTTAACAGTTTCTGGCTAGCATTAGCTTGATCCAATTATCAAAAGTGACACTGATGATTACATGACAAAGACACCTCACTTAACCAAATTGACTAAACTTGGTCAATGTCCCCAAGGCAAAATCCTATGAACCACTAGCTGTAGACTAGTATATTCAACATCAACAGTATTTTAAATACCCTCTAACTTTCTCAATCAGCCATTGATGAAGTATCCATGGTTTCAATGTTTAGACACTGTGAAAAATACAAAGATGAACAAAAACACATACACCCTCTTTTTAAAAAGTTTACAGTCAGACACTTAAGAAGGAACTGGCAGGATAACGGAAACCTGATTCTTTTGCCATCTAGTTAGATGGTTTTGATTCTCTCAATCAGAAACCATCTTGAAATAAAGTAATCAATTAGATCTCCGAAGTTTCACCTGGGTTTGAATTCTTATGGAACGTGGCAAAATATTTCATTTCTCTAGTTCTCAGGTCCCTCATCCTAACATGGAGATAAAGCACAGACCTCAAAGGTTTGCTCTGAAGGGTAAATGACATACATGTACAATGCGTTTTGTATATAATATGCATATCAAAAATAAATGTTAAAATAAGGGATAAAGGATACATTAAACAAGAAACCTCTTTTTTTTTGGCAAGAGTGAAAAGTTAAATATCTTGTGTTATAGTTAGATGCCTACATTCAGGACTGATGTATAACATGTATGTACTACAAATGGAAAGAAGAATTTCTTTCTTTCAGGCAATGCCCTAAAACAACAGCAGCTAGTAAGCTGGTGATCTTGAATAAGTGGAAGAAAAGACAATTTAGGAAATACTGATCAAATCTAATACCCAAAATAAAGTATACTGGGTTTTACCCAAGTTTTTGACAACATGTCTTATTACAATATTTTTGTAAACAATATGGAGAAGATGGAACTAAAAAGAGTCAGGTAGATTTATTAAGTGGGAAATACCATAAAAAAGACACTGGAATATGTAAATATTAATTTGAATAGCACTTTTGGACTTGGCTCAGAGTTCTGTTTTCAGTAGAGCAAAAATACCATGGAATTTGAAATTCAGAAAGGCTTAGGCTGGAGTTCTTGCTCTAACCCATTAGCTGTGAGAGCCCTTTGCCTCCTTGACCATCAGTTTCTTTTGTAACAGAATCATATGAAGATAACCTAGAAAGCCATTCCCTTTATGCTTGGCACATACTAAGGGCTGAATAAATGATATCAATAGTAACCATTGTTATTTTCACTTTAATTTTATTTTTGTAATAAGATGAAGGTGATTATGGTATCTTGTTTTCATTTTTAGACACTTTGAAAATACAGGTAGACAAAAAGACCTTTTCTCTAGGTAGGTAGTTACATTCTTTCTGTGTTCTATGATTCAAGCATCTATTCTGTTTTCATAAGGTGAACTGCTAAAATGTGTTCCCTGTTTTCATTTTTGAACATGCCTATGTGTGAGCAGATTCCTGATGTTCTAAATTTTAATAAAAATAACAATAACAACATCTACAGACAAATTTATATACCTCCTACTATGTCAAATACTATTCACCAAAGCAGCTTTCACATATGAACTCATTTAATCTTCACAACAGCCACCAGAAATTTGATTATTATGTCTATTTTACAAATGAGAAATATCAGGCACAAATTTGCATAGTTTGCTTTAGATCAGATGGCTAAAAAGTAACAGACAATCCAGGCAAATGCAAGTCTACAATCTATGAAATTTGCTCCTTATAATAGAACAGTTCTGTCTTGAAGAAACAATGTCATTAATGGAGGCACATTTGAAATATTTCTATTAGCACTAGATCAGACAGAAATAGAACTAAAAAGAAAATAGGAACTTCATTTGTATTATAAGTTCTACAGAAATAAGTACTTTGGACTCCCAAACAACTGTTTTTTAAATGAACATTGGAACATAATGTGCTTGGAAAATGGAAACTGATTCTATACAAATTGCTGAAACATAAAGCAAAATGAGTAGTATTGTAAGAGAGTCATAAACAAAGACACAGAGGAATTCAGAAGAAGACATCAATTTGACTCGGGGTATATAAGAAAGCGTTTTGGGGAAGGTGAGCTGAATCTTAATATATAAAATTGAACAATGATGAACCACCTTGAAAACAGGCTGAAGGCCTGAAATAAATTTATTACAGTCTTCATTATCTCTTATTTGTTTGTTGAATTACCATCTTATTTGACTTCAGTGGTACTGTGATTTCTGAAGGACATTTGTGTACCTTCTCCATACACAGATATTTCCATTTTCTTAGAGTCACAAAATACATCAACCGCAAAATAAGATTAACAGGGGATATGGATGGTGTTACTCTTTTCTTTAAACTGAGAATGTAAAAATTTAGCATATAAGAGATTTGGGCATGCTAAGGAAATTTTAAGCCTCATATACTTTACTTGGAAAGTTTATATTTAGAAACATTGATTTAAAAACATTTAAGTTTATCTTATAATTCATCACAGGTTTATTACTAGCCAATAGTCTCTGAATAACAAGTCAATAGATCAAATATGTCAGAGAAAGAACATGGGAACTGTTTATTTCAAAGAATTATCTTTTTAGGATTAGAAACATACTATTAAACTGCAATGGGTGAGAAAAATGTACTTGGCAGAGGATTTTAAACAAAAAGTATTATTATGATAGATGAAATGTTTATATTAGAGAAAGGATATGTAAGGAGACAAAGCTGTGTTAATAGCAAAAATTTTGTCACAAAATAGTGAGAACTGAATGCATTAAATCATAACCTGTTATTGTTTAACAAAGATTAGACTTTTAAAAATTTGCTAATCTATTCACTAATCTGTTTTCTTACTTTACTCCCTCATTAACAATAAATAGCTTTATAGCTTCCAGAAGAACCAAAATAAAGTATGTAGGCGAGACCACTGCCGAGGGCTAATCATTTCATAGCAGCAGCAGCTAAATTCAATCAACATTTGAATCTATAGGCATCTGCTCCTTCAATTCAGAATTTTAACCCATTGTTAGAGTTCCCCTACATTCAGGCCTAACATCATATATAATTCAGAACTGAAAAATAAATGTCTCATTGACAGGTTTCCTACTTGTGCTATTGTTATTAACATGTTATAATTTTATTTGTAAAGGAAACATCTACAGTAAAGAACAACCATTCTAACTAATATTTGTTGAATCCAACTATACATCTGTTACTGTATTAGGTATTGGGACCAAAAGAGGGGAAAGGGTTAAGAAGTGGTTGTGGACTCACCTTGTGTTAGCCACCTTAGGTGTTTTCAGACACAGTCCCTGGCCTCAAGAAGTTCAAAACCTAATTATAAAGATAGAAAGTAACAATTACTTTAAAAATATTTTAATCCCTACATTGTCTTTAAGATATAGGCTGTCACCCCATATTTCAGTAGGGACTGAGACAAAGAGGAGAAAAAGCAAGCTAGTTAATGAGAAACTGCTATGAATTTTATGAAATACAATGTTTAATTGAAGTAGTGAAATGCCAAAAACCAACATGGAAATCTCTATTCTTCACAGGCTATAAAGTAGTGAATATTGACTATTCTTTAAAATGTTGAATTGAGACTAACATATTCACCATAAAATGGCCAAATTGCCTTCTAAAAGCAGCAGTTTCATCAAGTCCACAAAACATCTTGGTCTGTTGTTTCCTACAATTACAGAATACATTTCGGAATATCTATCCTTTGGTCTTTAAATAATCACTGCCCCTAAGCTTTTAAGGGGAACACCTAAACCTTGGCGGCCGAGCTAAAGAAATTCCTTGCTTATCCTACTCCTTCGGGGACAAGTCAGCATGGAAAATTCCATCTTATAGGCATTACATTTATGTTAAAGAATTTCACAATTAATTTGACAAGATCCACACATCTGAAACATCATATTAAAAGGTACAATGTCTTAATTTCTCAACAGAATAATTTGTACAAGATTTGAAGTCTACCTTAATGACTCTTTTTTGCATTGTTTTCAGAATTGCTTTATTTTGTCTAGTACATTTTTTTTCTCAACTCTTTTTAGCATATTAAACTCTTACTCCTCCTTCAGTTCGCAGCAAGGTTGACATCTCATGGGGAAAGACTTTTTGACATCCTGCGCCTACTAAGTTTCAGTTAGATGAATATCCTAGGCTCCAGCAAACTCTGAGTCCTTCCCTATCACACATTGTCATGTCACCCTGTGTCAGAGAAAATGGCAAGCTGTTCACCAAAACATTTCCCTTTTCCTCGTGTTTCATAGCTAGACTACATTTTGTAGTTAGATGTGACTACATTCTTCACCATGGAATACAGTCTTAAGAACATCTTGCACATGATCCTCATTCTGTTTTCCTTACCAATATGTTAAATATTTAGGGACTGAAAGGAGGAAAGGTCCAAAAGACTAAAACAACAGGATTCTCGCAGCTTTCAGGATCACCTCTCATTTCCACTAATAAGGTCTATTCACACTAGAGTGTTACATAGGTGACCATTCATCACCTGGTCCTGACTAGGAACATCTATTGGCACTGCATTTTATGTAAATGAGAAGTAAATTTATGTTCTTTAAGCCATTAAAAGGGTGGTTGTTTATTATAGCATTTAGCCTGTTTGGTTTGTTAGATTTCCCTCATTAGATTGTAAACTATAGTACCCTGTGAATACAGCAAGTAGTTTTGTCTTGTTTGAGGTTTCCGCTGAGCCCCTGACACAGAAAATAGCACATACTTACCATCTCTCTCTCTCTGTTTTCTAAAATAACGTGAATCTTACATGATAAGATGTATCATGAAAATTTTATAGGAACTATTATTCTAAATACAGTTATTCCTCCAGGAATAGGGAACATAAGGCTTCATTTAGCACAGGCTCCAAAATATCTTTTGGTAAATACTTAAAGGTAAAATCTGATTTTGCTTAAGAGATTTCCCACAGCAAGTGGAACACATCAAATTATGCTTGCAAAACTGTTCTTGTAGGCCTCAATTTGCAGGTTTTTTGTAAGACACTGAAAGCATTGCACAGCCTTAGTCAGAAGTAATGGGCTTGAATGCTCCTTGCTGCAGTTGTGGTGATTCGGAATGTCCTTTGAACCTCTCCTGGGATTTAATGCCAATGGAGAGAAAATGAAAGGTAACTTTCTTTCCTTTTCAAAACAATAACCAATCACAGAATCCAAGACCTTCTGCTCTGCACATATTACAATGAAACAGCTTTTGAAGTCTAGACAAAAATAGAGACATCTGACAAGCAATATCAAATCTCAGTCAGCAGGTCTCCACGTATTTATTACTGACACTTCTTCCCTCCCTTAGCTCTAGAGTCAAATACACTCTATTCACGGATTCCTTTTAGGCAACCAACCACCTGTTTGGGGCCACTTCCAAAAGGTCTCTCCATAAATCTCACCCATCTGTCTCTCTTTACTATTGTCCACTTGCTGGTTAAATTTAGTCTTGCTTAGCAGAACTTAACTTTCAGAGATTTACTTCATTTACTTTCAGCCCTACTTAAGCAAAGGGGATGATCGGATCTCCTGGCTTCCTTTCTGCATAATGAAGAGGAAACTTTTGCTGCTAGACATGCAAATGCCTTTTGATCTGGAGTAGAAAATCCTCAAGCTCTATTCCATTACTCATTTAGATGATTGCTGAATGGCACCTTTCAGCTAGATTTTATGGTTGCTTTATTAAATTTGTAGTTCACTCACATTAATGTCAATATATATTAATAAAGCATTTCTCTAGTATCAGGCAAACATGCATTGCATTTACTAGTTGAAGACATTTCTTACAGGTTTTCATAGACATTTCAGACACCTTTATTTTCCTCTCAGACCAACACCCAACTCCCTTTCCTTTCAAAATACAAATACCAGTCTAGTTATCTGTTGATCTGGTAGAGGAGACAAAAGAAACTATTTAACATTAGTGAGAAATAGAAAAATATGTAATCCTTTCTAAGCCACGCATAATGTCTAGGTCAACTGAGCTTTCTTCACTCTGATCAGAAATTGCAAATTAATTAAGAAATCCCAATTTTTTTTTTCTGAATATAGATGCTAAATTCTCATGAACAGAAAAAAAAGGATTTTCAGCAATTGGTTTGGCTCAAGTAGGCAGACCCCAGTTCACGGAACATGAGCAATTTAGGGTAAAGAATGAAATGGACAAGAAGGGAATAAGGATAAGGGTCCTTTCACTTCCCTGCTGTCTGCCAAAATTCTGACTGGTTGTTATGCTTGAGGAAACTGTAAGAGCTGAAGCCTGTAACTTTCAGGGGAAGATCTGTCCATAGTAGGGCACAATCTGACCAGATACGATTTATAGTATTTGTATTGTTCATGGATCCTGGGCAGCATAGCGAGACCCCATCTCTACAAAAAATACAGAAAGCTGGCTGGGGATTGTGGCATGCACCTGTAGTCCCAGCTAGTCGGGAGGCTAAGGCAGGAAGATTGATTGAGCTCTGGAACTGCTGCACTCCAGCCTGAACAACAAAACAAGACTCTGTCTCTCACACACACACGTATCCAAACATATCTGTGTGTGCACACGTGGGCGTGTGCGCATGCGCGCGCGCTCACGTGTGTGTGTGCATGGCATCCCTTCTGTTATGAACTAAAATTTCCAAATTTCAATGACTCATGATTATATGAAATTTAATAATTAAAACATTTCACATCTGAAAAGGTATTTCAACAGAAACACTGAAATTTATTTTACATACTATATCAGAATGATTTTCACTCTATTTAAATTAGAAAAAAGTTTACTTTCTATGAAGTTTTTTTCCGCTGCTCACCCTATTCTACAGCATTCTGCTAAATTCTGATTATCAAAATAACATGTAATTTTAAAACAGATTCTCATTAGTGCAAGTAACTGTGACCTTTTTAAGTAGCTTAAAATTACATATTAAAGATATTTCATTAGGAAGCTTTCATTCTCTTTCATTTAGAATTGTTTGCACATACTTCTCATCAGTCATTGTGCTCCAATTTTCTGATTCAAGTGTAAAGATAGTCCTCTGCATTACCTTAAACACTAAGTAAGCAAACTTCCAGGAAAAACTAAGGTTTGAAATACCTAAAGGTACCTGTCTTATGAAATTGTCAAGTCCCTTCTTCATGTGCAGTTTGTACAAGAGAATGTCAAGACAGATGAATGAAAGGGTGTTGTTTTAAGCTTTGCTTGGCAAACATGTTAGACTTCTTAAGTGGCATAGCTTATCCTTCCTCCCTCCCTCCCACCTTCCCTCTCTTTCCCCCTCTCGCTCAACCTTGTTCTAATGCCATCCCTTATAGCTTTCTTGTGAAATAGATTGACTTGGAGCTGTGTTAACAACAACAACGAATACTACTGCAACCCACATTGCAACTAATGATATATAAAATGGTAAATAAATTGTGCCTCTAATGACTAAAGAACAGAGGGTTTTTATGGTGGTGGTGTGTTGTGTGTGTGTGCATGGGTATGTGTGTTTCCACATGACAATATTCAAAGAACAAGCAGGGCTTCTTGGAAGCCCGGGTGCTTTTTTCCCAAGTAAATTAAGAGACATTTTAAATTTTAAAAAATCAATATATAATGTGCTTATAGAAAAGTACATAATGAATCATACAAAAGAAACGCCAAAACACGTAAAAAAGAAACACCACCCACATCAAGACATAGAACGTTTCTAGTACTACAGACTTCATGCCTGCTTCCAAACCCACTTTTTCCTCCTCACCAAGGGTAAAGAAATGCTATCTTGACTTCTAACCTATGGTTTAGCGCTGCCTTGAACCTTATGTAAATATAATCAAGCATTACATGTTATTTTGTGTCGGCCTTCTTCCCTTAACATTAAAGTTGTTGGTTACATTCATGTTGTAATTTGTCAAATGTCTGAATATACAGTACCACATTTTATGTATCTATTCTATTGCTGATGGATATTGGGCCATTTCCAGTTTAAAGCAATTACAATTAATGCTACAATAAACACCCTTGTAGATATTTCTTGGTATGCATGTTGTATATAACGAGGAGTGGAATTGCTGGATCATCTGGTTATGCATATGTTCAATTTCAATAGATAATGCCAAACTGTTTTCCAAAGTGGTTGTAGCAATTATACTTTTCCTGCAACATAGGAGTGTTTTCTGTTGTATAACATCTTTGCCAATAATTGGTAGAAGTATTTGCTTTGAAAGTCTAAGTTAGGTTACTGAACAAGGAGAGAGGGGGTGAAGGCTTGGACTAGAAAAGGGAAGACTCCTGAACTCGGATTCAGTTGACTGGTAGAAGAATGATGGTTGTGCCATGAG